GGGTTTCTACTTAAAGCTCTGATCACTTAATAGACTTCAGCAGTTTCATCCTAAGATTGGCAGACCAACAGGATGAACACTAGATACCAAGGTAAACCTCTCAATAAATGAATATACAGATGGCCTGGGATAAGGTCAAAGGGCGCCTGTAACGAGTAAACCAGGCTGGTGAAACTCCTATTCCTTTTGGGTAGAGCTTAAAAGGATTGACTTCAAGCGCCGGATGTCTTCTTCATGATCATCTTCATGATCATCGTCATCATCATCTTCATTAATTTCATCATCAACTTCTTCTTCTTCTTCTTCAATTTCTACCTCTTTTCTCTCTACCCCTGTAATGACCTGCAGCGTCAGGACAGGAAGAGATCTCTGGAACTGGATTGTCCGTTCGCTTTTTAGTGTCTCTGACATTTCCTCGGTGCATTTCCGTGCGCTCGATCTCTGGCCATATCACCGCTGTATCTGTATAACACTGCCCTCTGTGGTCCCCTGTCTGCTGCCAGTCTTATCACATGGCCAAACCATCTGACATCTGTCATGCCATCTTGACTGGAAACTATAGTGGAGATTTCTGGCTGTTCGTCAGACATTTCAACTGTAATGCTCTTTACTTTCGTTTCATATCTTTGGTGGTTCTCCACCTTTCACTGGCATATGTTAAAACTGAAATAACACAAGAACTGAAAATACATAAGTAGGTATAAAGTAAGTAAAGGACCCTTTTCCACGCATTAAGGCGTATAGGGCATATAGGGCTAGACCTATATTTTTTTATAGACCAATCGGCACAAGATGGGTGATGTGGTCAGTATCACGCCGGCCACCTTCACTTTCCCGAGACTGCACCCGGTACCCACTCAAGGCTGGGTCGACCTGGGAGCCAAGGTACTTTTTGAAAAAAAAAAGTCCGGCTCCGCCAGGGAGCAAGAAAATACATATAAGTTTGCTGTAAAACCATATAATTTAGAGTTCCATACTTTATCTGTATATGAGCGGAATTATGATTTGATTACATTACAACACGAGAATTCCCCTTGGCAGATGCAAGGTTTCAGTTCTAGCTCTAGCACACCCCGCCGGTTTCTGAACTTGGAGATAACAAATACCAAATTTCGTCCTTTTTAGGACGAAATTTTTGTCATTTGAAGCCCCACTCTGGCTTTTGCCAGGGGCCGCAATATAGGCAGGCCATTTATATGGCCAAATGTCTGAACGCGGTTTCTGGGACCTCTCCACGGCGATCCTCATCCGCATGGTGGCACTTTGTGTCATCGGGTGTTTGTCGCTTGTGTGATGTCCTGGTGGGGTAGAAATTCAGTTCAGTTCAGTTTACAGTACTGGAACTCTGCGATGGCTGCTGAAAGATTGAAGAGGGGAGATAACTGGAGCGACCCGAATGCTGCGATGTCGATTGTTAACTTCACTCACTTACATCTCAATCCTGAAACAGTCCCCGTGGAACAGGTTTCTCAAAACCGGGGAGATTAAAATAATTCTCACACCAGTGGCACTCAGATAAATGATTGTACAGATGACCTTTAGACTGAGTCTAAAATGGGTACCAGGAAAGATATCTGAAGTAAAGACGGTTGAAATTGGACGTGCTGGACGGAAAAGTGCAGACGTCGCAACCTAGCTGTGAGCCACAACAAAACGTACCGACGACCCTTCTGAGGGCATTCAGAAAAAGAAGAAGAGGAAGAAAGTGATGATGATAAAAGAAGAAGAAGAAGATGATAAAAGAAGAAGAAGAAGAAGAAGAAGAAGAAGAAGAAGAAGAAGAAGAAGAAGAAGAAGAAGAAGAAAAAGAAGAAGAAAAAGAAGAAGAAGAAGAAGGAAGAAAAAGCAGAAGAAGAAGAAGAAGAAGAAGAAGAAGAAGAAGAAGAAGAAGAAGAAGGAGGAGGAGGAGGAGGAGGAGGAGGAGGAGGAGGAGGAGGAGGAGGAAGGAGGAGGAGGAGGATAGGATAAAAAGACACGGAAAAAGAAGAAGAAAAAGAAGAAAAAGCAGAAACATAACAATCTCAGTTAGACAACGACAAAGAAAACTGACTATAGATAGCAACGCTCCCAGATTACCAGACAAAACCTTCTGTACAAACAAAATGTATCGGGCGAAATCATTTCAAAAACCAGTAGCTGAATTCAGATAATGAACGCTATAGTAAAAAAAAAAAAAAAAAAGTATTTAAAAAAAAAAAACGTGTGAATTTTCCTCATGCGCGGACAATAAGTTAATGGTTTCCCTCCTTCAAATCACACACGAACTTGCACCGACATTTCAGATGTCGCCCACAATTTCCCCCCTACTGCGCCTGCAGACAAATGCGGATCACGTCTGCCAAAGGAAACAGATCTGAAAGATGCATAAGCATGTGACCTGTAGATTTGTTTGCTCACTAGGTTCGATATGCAACATTCCAGACGAATTTCCATATTATAGCAGATATGCCTTCGTAGGTCAAGTGTTTTTTTTTTTTTTTTTTGTATGCGGTACAACTTCGACTCAGCCTAAAAGAGGTGTCTGGTAAAACCAGGAAAAGTAAAGGCGGTCGAGGTGATGCTGACGACATCACACCACCGAGCGTATTGGTGTATGAAAATTCAACAGGAATTCAACAAGCTGGTAGAAAATAACAGCTGCAGAACTAAAGAATTATAGTCAAACGCAGCAGAGTGTTGTCGAATTCAAGAAATTTAATAGAATGTAACAGGAATTGTAGAGTTATAAACATGTTACTGAAGCTAGCAGAGAGTATATAATAAAGCGTAATAGAATGTAGCACAGTAATAGAATTAATTTAGGTGGGAGTTGCAGAATTAAAACAGAGTAATAAAATATAAGAAAGTTGCAGAATTGAACAAGTAGAAACGAACGTAGCAGAAAGTTGCAGAATTGAACAAGTGGAAACGAACGTAGCTAAAAGTTGCAGAATTGAACAAGTGGAAACGAACGTAGCTGAAAGTTGCAGAATTTAACAAGTGGAAACGAACGTAGCAGAAAGTTGCAGAATTGAACAAGTAGAAACGAACGTAGCAGGGAGTTGCAGAATTGAACAAGTGGAAACAAACGTAGCTGAAAGTTGCAGAATTGAACAAGTGGAAACGAACGCGGCAGAAAGTTGCAGAATTGAACAAGTAGAAATGAACGTAGCAGAAAGTTGCAGAATTGAACAAGTGGAAATTAAAGTAGCAGAGAGTAGCTGAATTGAACCATTGTAAATGAATGTAGCGCACGGCTCTCTAGCGTAGTTGGCTAAGCATGACTTCGCGGTGACCAGGTGACGAACTCCCTGTGGTCCTGGTTCACTCCCGGGGGTAGGCAGAAAAGCCATATTTCTTCCAGATTTACGGTACCTATCATGGAATCAAGGCCGAAGGGTTGCGATATCCATAGTACCGAACTAAAGGGTTAACAACTCATGGTCTCTGGATTTAAAAAAAAAATGAATGTAACAGAGAGTTGCTGAATTGCACAAGTGGAAATGAATGTAGCAGAGAGTTGCAAAATTGCACAAGTGGAAATAAATGAAGCAGAGAGTTGCTGAATTGAACAAGTGGAAATGAATGTAGCAGAGTTGCTGAATTGAACAAGTGGAAATGAATGTAGCAGAGAGTTGCTGAACTGAACAAGTGGAAATGAATGTAGCAGAGAGTTGCTGAATTGAACAAGTGGAAATAAATGTAGCAGAGTTGCTGAATTGAACAAGTGGAAATGAATGTAGCAGAGAGTTGCTGAATTGAACAAGTGAAAATGAATGTAGCAGAGAGTTGCTGAATTGAACAAGTGGAAATTAATGTAGCAGAGAGTTGCTGAATTGAACAAGTGGAAATGAATGTAGCAGAGTTGCTGAATTGAACAAGTGGAAATAAATGTAGCAGAGAGTTGCTGAATTGAACAAGTGGAAATGAATGTAGCAGAGAGTTGCTGAATTGAATAAGTGGAAATAAATGTAGCAGAGGGTTGCTGAATTGAACAAGTGGAAATGAATGTAGCAGAGTTACAGAATTATAGAAGGGGCAGAGAATCTAGTAGCAAGTTACATGGGTGAAGAAACATCGTAAAATGTTTTAGCAGAGATCTGCAGAATTACAGAAGTGTAATGGAATCAGGCGAGATAAAGTGCTGTATAATATCAAAGAGCGTAACTGTAATACATTAATCAGCTATGTTCTATGCAATACTTTCTGGATTAGTGTAAACACACCGGCTGATGTTAACATTACTCGACCTTTATCTGGCGATTACTTTAGACTGGACATAAAGGTCTCCATACACACACCAGGAAGATCGTTTGCCTCTGAAGGAACTCTAATCGACTTAAAATGGTACACAGCTGGCTATCGCAAATGTCAGAAAGCCTCAGAAAGATACATACGGAGCCTGACCGACTGGCTAAACTGTACTCACACCCGGTGAATACACCTGCAGAGCAAATCTGCAGACCAAGTGTAGGGTGGTTTAAATTTATTTACTGATTATGGTTTAGATTTATCTATCCATTTGCCCGTCCACATATCTATCTATCTATCTATCTATCTATCTATCTATCTATCTATCTATCTATCTATCTATCTATCTATCTATCTATCTATCTATCTATCTATCTATCTATCTATCTATCTATCTATCTATCTATCTATCTATCTATCTATCTATCTATCTATCTATCTATCTATCTATTATCTATCTATCTATCTATCTATCTATCTATCTATCTATCTATCTATCTATCTATCTATCTATCTATCTATCTATCTATCTATCTATCTATCTATCTATCTATCTATCTATCTATCTATCTATCTATCTATCTATCTATCTATCTATCTATCTATCTATCTATCTATCTATCTATCTATCTATCTATCTATCTATTTATCTATCTAAAGAAACATAAAGGGAAACAACCACGTGACAGCGACGACTGGAGCGAACACACAAAGATCAATCTAGGATTGAATGAAATCATCAAATATGCAAAACACAAATGTCACATTACCTGCTGCGGCGTTGCTGGGGAAGACGGCGTGTGCTGTGGCAGGCTTTGGGAACTGGAAAAGCCAGAATCGGCGCCGCTAAAATCTGGAAAACAAACGTTAAAAAAGTGGTTTTTAGTTAGAAAAAGTCTATTATTGTTACATCCCCACATATTCTCATTCTTCACACAACTATGATCTTAAAATAGAATATTTCTTGACAGCTAACTACCTATGGTACGCGTTTGGTAGTCCATCTGTATTTTCCCCTCCGGCTCACCCTCAAGCAGCCCATTTGTCTCTCTCTCTCTCAAATCCATCGTCTGTATGTCTCTCCACCTCCCCCCTCCCCATACCCACCTTCCTCCTTTACCCCTCTCTGCTTATGAAGGTTTAAAAAAAAAACTGATATTCCCATTATGTACACTAGGTTGCGTCCCTTTACATGGCATTACAGAACCCACTCAGCATTTTTTAGCTTTTGTGGTTTTTCTAGGCAAATTTACGTCAAGTAGTTTGCCACTGCTTTTTGGACGGTCTTCTTCTTCTTCTTCTTCTTCTTCTTCTTCTTCACTTCCTCTTTTACCGCTGTGGGTGTCGAGGGAGACATAAGGTTCTGTTTCTAGCTCTTCTGGCTGCCTCGACCATAGGCACATCGTGCTGTTGTAGAGTTTCTCTGATGTTATCCTTCCATCTTGTTCTTGGTCTACCCCGTGCTCTACGTCCTTCTTCTCTTTCCATGAATGCTTTGTATGGTATGGTGTCACAAGGCATTCTCTCTAAGTGGGCAAACCATTTCACTTGCTGTCTTAGTATGTAATCCAGAATTGGTTCTGTGCCGACTTGTTCTCTTATGATCTCATTCCTGATCTTATCTCTTATGGTCACTCCTAGAGCCCTTCTCAGACATCTCATTTCCGTGGTTACTAATTTTCTTTTATGGTTTGTTGTGAGAGACCACGTCTGGCACTGGTAGCACAGAGTTGGAATAAATATGCTTTGAATAAGATGTCTCTTTGTGCTGATTGGGATTGTCTTATGCTGTAAGAGGGGGGGGGGGGCTAGCTGTCCCAATACTTGGTTTGCTTTACTGCATCTAATGTCAATTTCTTTATCCAATTTCCCATCTTCGGTAAATGTAGTTCCCAGATATTTAAACTCAGATACCTGTTTAATGCCTTTGTATTCTATTGCTATGTTTAGATCTGTCTTCTTTTTTCTTATTGACATTACTTCTGTCTTTTCAGTGCTGATTCTCATATTATTTGTTTTACATTCTTCATTCATGGATGTTAGATGTTGTTGCAATTTCATGGCTGTATCTGCTATCAAGGCCTGGTCATCTGCAAAGAGTAATTCGTTGATCTTACTAAGATCTTCATTCATGGGCTTGGCATTCTTGCATATACTGTCGATGTAGGTGATAAACAGCAGTGGTGATAAGACACACCCCTGTCTTACTCCAGATGTCACCGTGAAAGGATGAGATGTTCCCTGATTTATTCTAACTACACTTTTACAATCCCTGTATAAACTTTTGCACACTTCGTGGACGGTCGGCATCTCGATACCACTGTCGAAATCAACGCAAGGCTCAAGGCCCGCATCTGGGATCGAACCCGGCACCCCGGCGTTACGAAGCGCGTTCGCAACGTCTAAGCCAAAGACGCTGATATTATGTACACTGCTGTCTGAAAATAGATTGCGTTATTCATAAACGTCAGCTCTGGATACAGTGTGTAGAAAACAACGTAGAGCAGTCTGCTGCCAAATAACTCACAGCTGGGAATCGAACCCTGCACCTGGCAATTACAAAGATACTATATATAAAGTTCTATAATAGATTAAAAAGGTACTATAATAGATTCCAAAACGACAGCAATAGGGAGGCACGCAAATGCACGCACACACACACACACACACACACACACAGATAGACTCACAAAGAGAGGGATACACAGAGAAAGAAACAAAGACATACAAGAGAAAGACAGATGAAGGGAGGGAGAGAACAAAAAGCAATGAACAGAAAGGGAGAGTGGTTAGCAGAGACAGACACAGAGAGAGGTAAACTGGGAGATAGACGTCTACATACAAAGAGAAAAAGATACAAGAGAAAGAAGCAGAGAAGCCAGACATCACATACGCACATACATACACACACATACGAATATACAGTGAGAGAGATGCCGACAAGACATACATACACAGACAGACAGACAGACAGAGAAAGAGCAAGAAAGATTAGGGACATTTAACACGTATGCACACTGAGATGGACAAATTGACAAAAAAACCGACAGACAGACAATTAGAGAGAGAGAGAGAGAGAGAGAGAGAGAGAGAGAGAGAGAGAGAGAGAGAGAGAGAGAGAGAGAGAGAGAGAGAGAGAGAGAGAGAGAGATCAACAAAGGCAGAGAAAGACCACCTTCAGAATGCAGACAACAAACACATCTTCTGTTCTATCCGACAAAACTAAGACGAATCCAAGTACCCAAGAATACCAACAAGGATAAAACTTAAGAGGAAAAAACAAAAGGTTGGGAAGCTTCCCGTCAGGAAAATAGAGCCATTATTTTCGGATCAGACAACTTGGAGCGGACACGAAACCATAATGGCGGGTATTTGATAAACATATTTCATACCGGGGACGGGATGGGGGAGGGGGGGGGGGGCGATGAAAGGTAAAAGAAATAATTATAATGAAGCGGAAGACTCGCATGTGAAGAAAAAGATAGAACTGTATATTTTGAGAAAGATAAAACACACGCACATAGAGTCACAGAGATATAAACAGGGTGGAAATGTATAAAGACACATATATAATTACAGAGATGGAAGAAAAAGAAAAAAAAAACAACTGACTGAGAAAGAAAGACAGATGGACAAATAGACAAAGACAGACATACAGATAGATAGGTAAATAGACAGATAAGTAGACAGACAGATAGATAGACAGACAGACAGACAGACAGACAGACAGACAGACAGACAGACAGACAGACAGACGGACGGACGGACGGACGGACGGACGGACGGACAGGACAGACAGACAGACAGACAGACAGACAGACAGACAGACAGACAGACAGACAGACAGACAGACAGACAGACAGACAGACAGACAGACAGACAGACAGACAGACAGACATATAGATAGATAGATAGATAGATAGATAGATAGATAGATAGATAGATAGATAGATAGATAGATAGATAGATAGATAGATAGATAGATAGATAGATAGATAGATAGATAGATAGATAGATAGATAGATAGATAGATAGATAGATAGACAGACCGGTAGACAGACAGACAGATAGATAGATAGACAGATAGATAGATAGATAGATAGATAGATAGATAGATAGATAGATAGATAGATAGATAGATAGATAGATAGATAGATAGATAGATAGATAGATAGATAGATAGATAGATAGATAGATAGATAGATAGATAGATAGATAGATAGATAGATAGATAGATAGATAGATAGATAGATAGATAGATAGATAGATAGATAGATAGATAGATAGATAGATAGATAGATAGATAGATAGATAGATAGATAGATAGATAGATAGATAGATAGATAGATAGATAGATAGATAGATAGATAGATAGATAGATAGATAGATAGATAGATAGATAGATAGATAGATAGATAGATAGATAGATAGATAGATAGATAGATAGATAGATAGATAAGTTCGACCATACTCCTGAAATCCCGAAGTTCGACTATACTCCCGAAATCCCGAAGTTCAACCATACTCCCGAGATTCTGAAGCTAAGAGAGAGCAAACCTTTGTTCGTGTACCATAATCTTGGGAGAATTGTTGCCACGCTCTTGCAATCTTGCAGTAGGCAAAGTCTGTGTTTGTGGCATCCTCCATGGTTGTAAAGACCGTGGCTAATTCTCCTTTCCTTAGCCAGGCCAATGTCTGACCAGAATGGAGTTGGAGATAGGTTCTTCGGCCGCGCACTAATTTCTAACTTGGATCGATGAATGGAAGGACAAAACACAAGACGTACGCAGGCACGAAGACAGGTAGGCAGGCACGCACACACACACACATTTATATATCAAAATAGTGGTAGATAGGCAGCAGGAGGGATCGACGTAGATAGACAGGAGGAGAGATAGAAAGATAGACAGAAAGGATATAAAGAGTTCTTTTCCATGAGTACAGACCTCCCATAAAGCGCAAACTGCTCTCTCTCTCTCTCTCTCTCTCTCTCTCTCTCTCTCCCTCTCTCTCTCTCTCTCTCTCATTCCCCGCCCATAAAAATATCGTATCATTCCACAATCAATTATGTATGCACAACGTCTCCAGATCTTTGTGTCTACGGACCCACAATTCCCATCAAAACAATTCGTTTCTTCTTTCAGCTTTTGCTGTTGCATCTCTTACACTCCGCCTCTAAGCTGCACACAACGGTACGACGTACGTACAGACAAACGAACTAGCTAATCGCACAACGAAGAGATTACCTGGCGAATCAGGCAGAAAGAAAGAAATGAAGAAAAACCCAAATGTGATGCACATCTTTCTAGACAGACAGACAGTGTTATTTGAGGTTTGAACAAAGGAGCTGTCATCATGGCACACGGTGTTCCGTTTTTCTTTCAACTCAAGTCTGAATCCGCAGAAGCTCAGCACAGTGCACAGGCTCTGTAGCACCGGCGAGGATCCTGAAATACTTTGGGTAGATTTTAAACTCCAAATGGTGTCCGGGCAGCGCCGTTATGCTACTCTTTCCAAATTCTAACTGCCAAGAGATTTTTTAACGTGCGCAACAATGCACAGGGGCGTCTGATCTCACTACCCAGAGACCAGGGGGAATTATTAAAAGCCCAAGTCCACGTGAAAAAAAATCCCAGCCCTTACCGGGGATTGAACCCGGAACCTCTAGCACTCAAGGCGGACACCATGCCTCGAGACCACTCAGCCACATAGACAGTATTATGAGAGTACAAAAACTGGCCCATATTTTTTTAGAGTCACCGTCAAAATGCCGGTTCACATACGCACACCGCCCCCCCCCCCACACACACACACACACACACAACGCATACACGTATTTGTAAATACCTTAGC